GTACTGCTTTATCTGCATAGAGACGAAATATCGAAGCGCGTAAGCGCCGCGTCGCCGTCTAACGGATAAACATTGATACGGAACCCATAGGAATGTAAACAAAATTCATACTTATTGTAAAAATCTCTATAAAATATCTGATAATTTGATGTGCATATGTCTAATGATCATTTTTGACCCCCAAATGGCTTTTTGTTTTACTTTTTTCATTAGATCTCCGAAACCGCTAGATCTGCCTTCATGAAAATTTGATCAATTCTTCATCTTGTCAATACAAGTAAAATGTTTTTTGAATTTTTAAAATCGAACGCTCCGTTCTCTTAAAAACCGTGTTACCGTTTTTGGAACGTATCTTCGGAACGGCTAGACCTGCCTCCACCAAAAACTAATCAGCACGTCTCCTTATCAGTACGAATCGAATGTTTTTTAAATTATTTAAATCGGTTGATCGGTGTTCTCGAAATCGTCGACGAAAATTTGTATCCGAACACACACACACGCACACACATACATCCATTTTTTTTAAGATATGCCAAAATATTCAGAAACTTTTGAAACGTCGAGAAATGCAAAAATTTTCATTTTCGATTTTTTTGCGATTACTATAATTTACCCTACGGGAAGTTAAAAAGAAGGGTTACGTTCCAAGAATTCAAAAAAACATACTACATATCATGATTTTATAATAGATATTGTTATATTAATAAATTTTTTTAAGAAGTAATATAATTTTTTTCGTCATAATTAACTGGTATGTGCTATCCTCATTGCAACATATCCTCATCTTCTGAGCAGTTTTCTATACTACCTCCAGATCCGTGTATTATTTTTTTGCAAAAAAAAATATTTCCGATTACTTGCTTTTAGCAAAAAGATATTTATATATTTACCACAAGCAAAGTTATCTTTATTAAAATATTATGCTCGTTTTATTTAAAGGATCTTTGTTTAAAACTAATTGACTAATTGTTCGAATAAGTCTAGAATTTTTTATCTATAGAACGTACGCGCTCAAATAATAAGTATCAAATTAATTATCTTTTACATTAGTTTTATCACATTTATTGAGCTATTGCATTTCGATTTTACTAATTTTGGATTAAATAAAGTTTGATTTTCATAAACTTTACTATATTTTTTATTTTATTAGCGTTTTGCTCAATTCTGAAACCGTGTTAGAGCAAACACGCGCTTTAAAAGTACCGTGTTATAAGGGGAATGGTATCAATTCTTAAACCGTATTAGAGCGAATCCATGTTATGGAAGTACCGTGTTATGCGGGGGTTCCCTGTATTTTCATTCGTTGTTAGTTTTCTTTGGTTGTGAGCACTTTTGGTCAGAGACTAATATTTTTTAAATATACGTTATTTAATTGTTTTGTTAATTTTAAGTTAAATTTAACAGTATTTTTATATAACCTCTATAAAAGCTCACACGTGGGTGGGTAATAAGGACCGACTGATTCCTCGCCCTGGCAAAAGTATGAACAATAATTAATAATAAATTAAGTTAAAAAAAGCAATGTTACAAGAGGTTAATTAATTAAATAATTAATCCAAGTCTGCTGATGTATATTTCTGAAGAAATACCAGATCAAGGTTATACAGTGTTATCCCTGTAAAAATGTACCCAAGAAATTTATATTTTACATTAGAATGACATAGCTATTATTGCGTAAAATCCCTTTAAAATGAAATATAAACATTGGACCTCTTTGTCCCCCGGCCGTCCCGTTTTACCCCACCTATGGTGTACAAAAAACCAGGCGACGAATTTTTGAAGAACAGCAAAAACACATTTCTACAGTGATTATTTAGCTTAGAGTTTCATTGAACATAGTTAGATAGTTGTTAGTTTGATATATGTTTTATTTGTTGCAATATAATTGGTTTGGTTTTCACAATTGCTCAAAAAAGTCAAATTGGAACTTCGTTCGCCCTACCCTATATCTCCTGACAAATGATCAACAGCATTTTGTAGTTCTAAACAATCCTGTATAGTTGGTAACATAATAATAAAAGTAACAAATCGGCTTTGGATTTTAAAATCTTAGTTTATATTATAATTATTTTAGTTAAAATCAGCTATTCAAAAAAGCTAGTAATAAATATAGGGCTTTCCCGTGGCTTAGTGGTTATAGTTATATAACTTATATCGTCTTCTAATCAGAAATATTTCCTTAAAGAGATTCTAATAACAAAATACATCGAATAGAATTGGATAACCGTTGCGTTGCCTTTTAAAAAGCATATAAGTACTGATTACTGTAAATAATAAAAATAAGGAACAAATAAGAATCAAAATTTAAGTAAAAAATTTCTATTAACTCATTTTTCGCCATCACATTTATCAGTCAGTTTTTCTGCTGACAAGAAGCTGAATAAGTATTTTTCAAAACTTATTTCAAGAAGATATAAAGATTTTCTATTGATATTTCTTCGATATTAAATATTAAATAGAATATTAAAAATCTAATTCAAATATTTTTCTTTAATCATTATTATTAGAGAAATACTAATAATAAAGTACATAATTGAGATGGGCGAACCGTTGAGTTGTTTTCTCAAAAAAACATTCAACACCAGTTCTGATCGCAATACAAAAATTACTTTAAAAGCTATCTAGTCAGAAAGTTTTTATGTATTTTTAGTGCATTATATAATTTGATTACGTTGATTTTCAACAATACATAGTAATAATATATTTATCTATCACTAGAATATTATGAACATTTTTACTTTATCTCAGCTTATTTTCCATATTTTTTAGATTAATTTAGTTATTAAAAATTTTGATTTTCTAATAAAAATTAAGAATCCAGTAAATAGTTGTCATTCACTCATTTTCCGCCATTACTTTATCATTTGACCCAATGGAAAATTTGTTTTTTGCAATCGTTTTTCCGAATCATTCCGAAATGTGTACCAAGTTCGTAAATTTTTATATTGTTTTTATTATATTTTGATAACAAATATACACCGAATTGTTTCAAAACAAATGTTTTTCTAATTCTATTTTTGTAATTCATAAGCTGGCAAAGGCTTTTAAAAATAAGCACTATTTTATATTCAATTTAGCAACCGATTTTTCTTCTCTTATTCTTCAATATATATAAAAAAACAATGTTGTAGTTAATATTTTTTCGAAAAATTTTGAATTTTTCATAATATATTATGAATTTAAAAAATGCTATTTATATACTAAAAAAATCTATACAGTAATATTTAGTAGAGTTCTAAAATTTAGACATAAGGTGACCGGTAAACCCCTTAGCTCGTCGTTGATTTATTCATCCATTCAATAAATATCTAGCTATCAGCTAATAATATATGCTAATAAATATATTTTAAATGTTGTTTCGAAAACATTTATTAGTCATAACTATGGACTACATGTGCAATTTGCGTCAAAAGCTACTTAAGTGCCACAAAAGAAAAATTGTGCCTTCAAAAATAAATTAATATCAAATAACTCTTTCAACATAAAAATGAATTTCGAAAATTAGTGTCTATAATTCAATTCAGAAGCTAAAATTGATGCAGATTTTTTGCAGGTGATATCACTTTAATTATTATTCACAATACGTTCTAATCAGTTGTTTTCTGATTTTTGTTAACCACGTAATGGTGATGACTTGATGAGCAATACCAATAAGGTTTATTCTTAGGAAACATATTGCTATCGAAATTTTTAAGAGAATACTGATATCACCATTGTTTAACATCAGGATTTCCATGGATATCGAACCTGCAATCTTCTGGTGGGAAAAACATAGCACGAACCACTAGGCTACCATAGCAAAGGAAAAGCTCTAACCATAATTCAAGGCAAAAAATATAAAGCAAGTATATTAATAATAGTCACAAAATATTTTTCACATTTGTTTAATCCATTTAGTACATTTCTATGGAAACAACAATTACAAACAACATCTCGACAAGAAACAGTTGTGCGAATTATACTTTTGCCCTCGTTTGGAGTTTACTTGAAAAAAAAGTATGGACGCTTTGCCATATTATTTGGTTCTACTCTGTTTATTAAAAAAGAAAATGATGCACTATTTCAAAGAACTTGTTGAAAAAATTCTATATACCAATTTTCAACCTCTACCTCATTATTTGATATCATTGAAAATATAGAAAAATAGCCTCTTTTCTGCCTGTGCTATAGTTTGGACTACTTTTTCATTCCAAAGCGTACAGATTTTTTTTGAATCACTCAAAATTTTGTTCAAATCAAACACATTCAAAAATTGGAAAAGCCCTGAACAATATAAGCGCCGGTGTGCAAAACGGAGTCCTATTATGTAAATTAACTAATTAAATAAACTCAAACAAAAACTCAAAACTCAACAAACCAAATACAAAATAAATAATGGAAGTGATCGAATAATAATAATTATATTAGTAGAATGGTAGCATGGGTTGATGGGGTTTGACGGAAATCGGAAACACGCGTATCATGGAATTTGCGCAAAATTGTATGTATTATATTGTATAATATTCACCTTATCTTGATGCATTTTGTGGAAGTTGGAAATTTTAAACGCCTTTTATAATGTTACATAAATATTAGGTAGTAAAAAACTCTTAACGTATGCTGTTATAAACATAATATCCACATACCTTATAGGAGCACATGAGTTTTCCTAAAAAGTTTTCCCTGTGCCACAACTATTTATTTTTGTGGTTCTCTAGTTTTTTTTGAACGAAAGCGAGAATTGGAATTACGGTAACTTTCATTGTTTTATTCGCCAGGACCTTGTGATGATTGGCCTTGAAAAATTTGCTGCATGTTATTGTTGGCGAAAAAATTGCGACGGTGTGCGCACACGTAACTTCTCTTGTGTCAAAATTTGTATATCCATTCGATGGAGTACTCATCACCAGCTTATGTAGTTTAAATATTGGGTGTAAATTGAACATTTTGCCATGAATGACAAAATATTATTGTATTATATTTATCTTTTCAACATTTAGAAATCGTAGTTTTTAAAAACTACCTCACCCAAGTAGTGAATAATACAGATTTATTAAAACAATATGATGGTTTTCTCTCTGCCCGAGATGTACATGTGTTTTAGAATTATCATATCATGCGTAGATCATTATCTAAAAAAAAAAATAGCAAAAAGATTAGCAAGATAAAAATTTTAATTACAATAAATTTTAAAATACTAAAATACAATCCAATTTTCAATAAACTTAAACACTTGCACTGTATAAAACATTTAGCATTATGATCATAATACTAACTATAGTTAGTATTAGCAGAGTTAGTTGGAAAAGAGTTAGTAAAGTATACTTTACTATATATAGTTAGTTAGTAAAGTATACTTTACTAACTCTTTTCCGACTAACTCTACTACTAATACTTTTCCAAGAATATCTGGTTTACAAGGTAGATAAATTGTTTCGTTTATTTTAAAATTACATGGAAAAATTTTAAATTACAAATGGGAATCGAATGCAACGTATTAAAAAACGACTTAAAAAGGCTTTCAGGTCCGTATCTAATTTTTTAAACCCAAATTGTATGACAATGTAGTAGCGAGTAACACATTGTTTTTTACAATGTAGGTAAACTGCACACCAAAGTGTAGTTTATTTAAATATGTGCTTGTTTACATCTTATAGCGTTAATTAAACACATCTTATAGCGTTGCTATAAAACACATTGAAAACAACAAAACTCATTTTAAAATGGCATGTTAGCAATATGAAATTCGACATTTAGGAAAACCGGTAGTAGTACATACATACGAGAAAAATGTGGAGTCCTGATGTATATAATCGGGGATCGGGGTTAATAAACAAAGATTTATCAACGTATAATCAAAAATAAAATTACCTTTTAATTATAATTTAAAAATCCCATTTGAGTTCATTAAATATAATATATTTTTTTGTTCATGCAATAATTAATGACTTTCTAAACAACAAATTTTTACAAATACTTTTGCGTGAGTTTAATTTGATTCGAAAAGTATTTCGATACAGTCCAAAATTGAAATTAGGCAAAAGACATAATTGGCATTTATTAAATAAGAGATATAGTACTGGCCTCACTCCGACTGTATATCAATAAATTCTTGATAAATTCGATCTGAAATGGATAACGAAGTTCACGGCGTCTAGGATAGCATTCTTAGTGTGTATGCGCCTATAGAGATTTAATAAAAGCAACAATAATAGTAATTTTAAATATTATGTTTAAAAATATTATTATAACTGAAAATAGCATTGTAAAAAATTAAACAAAATAATAAAAAAACATCTACATTAAAACCACGTTAAAACAATTTCCAAGGGACCGGACCTAAGACGAAAGAGCGCATCTTAGACCGCACCGTTTATGCGGTGTAAAGACAAAATACCCCATATTGTGGCCAAAAGTGGCTTATTATGCAGAAAATCGTATTAAGCATAATCGTCTTAACAGGGTTCTAATGTATACAAAAGAAAACAATTTTTTCAATTTTATTATAAATAAGCATTTTATTTAGTACGAGTTAGATATGTTTCTTAAGCTATGTTTATCACTTAACCAGGAAACTGGCTTCAACGTCCATATTTGTGATTCTTCATATTTATTACAAAATTTTGTTTTCAGTCCAATTTTAGTTCCACGCTGAGGTGCTTCTAAACATCGTTTTGTTTCAACATGAATAATTTGTTTCGTCTGAGAAATGTTACAACATATAATTAAACAAAAACAATTTGATAAATAAAATTCTACGTTTGATGAAATATGTATTACCAACTCATCATATTTCCACTTTTGTTTTCCACTGTGACTACATGAATACAGACGGACTTCAGTATCATTAGATTTTTTCTGTTTACTATAAATATCATCAATGGTTTCGAGACATACACATTCATTAGTCATTATAGAATCTTTTTTGAGTATAAACATTTCTTCTACCAATGCACTTTCTTCTGAACAATCTTGAATTATTGCTAATCCTGATCTGACATCCTAAAAAATATGTAGAAAATCGAAAAAAAGGTCATGGTAATATTAGCATAGAACTAGACAATAAACCTTTCCAACTACTTAACTCTTTACTGCTTAATAAGATATGTTTCAATGATTATAATGTATGAATTAAATATGATTTGAATATGAGAAATCAAATTAAATAAAATATTACCTGAGGGTGTCCTTGAGGTGCATTTAAACACTTATTGTGCTTCAAATTCATTATTTTTCCAAAGAATTCTCCTTCAACGGGCAAGCAATGCTCAGGCCAAACATTGTCCAAATACCATTTAAATGATTTGCAGCCCAAACGTTTCCTCAAAGCTACTCTTTTGCTTACATCAATATTCTTAATTGCTTCAGGATTATAACTTTCTTTTCTTATAAATTTAAAATAAAAATCTGCATACTCGTCCAACCAGACCTGAAAATACAAAAATTAATGCATAATAGTTCTATTGCCGATTCAATATATATATATATATATATATATATATATATATATATATATATATATATATATATATGATTTCATGACAAAGGCTCCAAAAACGAACCATGGCTGTCCGTGCTATATTGCGCGCAATAATATTTCTGCTGCCGCCTGGCCATTCATATGGTGATCCTAGTCTGAAGACGTGACCTACATGAGAACATGGAGCTATCTCAATACTACCTCCACACTGCCAAACTCTCAATGATAGCTCTATATTTTCTCCTCCCCACACAAACATTTCTTCATCATATGCTCCCAGGAAGAAAAAGTATTCACGATCAATTGCAAATAAACCACCAGCCATGGCAGGTGTCATTATTGGTGCTGACATATCCATACTGCGTTTAGTCAAACGTGCACCCATTAAGTAAAACCATCTACACAAATAGTAGATATTTTAATTATAATTATGCTATATATATATATATATATATATGTATACACAATAAATAGTTAAAAACAATAAACAATATAAACTACTTTTTTTTCGGGATTAGATTGGGATCAGAAATGTTAAATTATGACATTTACTAATATGACTGAATTTAAAAAAAACAAGCTAAAAATGAAGTAAAGATTTTGAATGAATTACTATTATAAACAGTTACCTAAATGTTAAATGCCAATTGAATGCTCCCATACTAGATTCTATTATTTTTGTATATGCAAATGTATCCTTATTTATAATATCTATAACAGGGCATACCACACGAGTAGAATCATCTGCAATTCTGAAAATTCAATGAATCAGCGTTTAGTAGCAAGTAATATGTTCATCAACTTATCAAATAAAACACAAAATGCAGATTGGATGATACATATAATACTTACTTAATTCTTTATTCCTGAACAAATTAATAAAAAGAAATTTTGCACATTATAATATTTTGATCTCTATATTTTCAAATATAAAACTGTATTTTATATATATATATCAAAAGTATCACATTCCTAATAAGCTGAGTGACAAACCATTTCTGAAATCTCTTTCAAGTCACAAAAGTAAAAGATATACATAATATCTATTCTGTATAATAGATATACAGAAAAATAAGATAAAATACGCTGAACATTTAATATCGTGCATATAAATGAATTATATTGTATTGTATCATATAACATTATGGGAATGACATGGAAATATATTTTACTAGTATTAACAAAATATGTATTATTCAATAAAATTGTATATTTACCTCTCAAGAAGTACTTCTAGCCAACCTGTTGTACATTCACAATGAGCATCAAGAAATACCAACACTTTTCCCAAAGCACGATTTGCCCCAGCAATTCTTGCTCTAATCAATCCAGATCTCTTAGACATTCTCATAATTGATACCTTTACAGGGAGTGTTTTAACATAATCTTCTAAGGGCGCTTTCAAAAATTCTAAAATCAATTCATTTATTAATTTTTATTTTAGTTTGTCTGTTATTTTTCATAATAAAATATGCCATTAATTTTAAATGTTAATATATGCTTTTCATCAAGCTTTATTTATAACTCCTAAATTTAGAATATATTAGGAAGCATGTCAAATATTTAACAGGTGTTGTTTTATACATTTTAATTGTTAATAATCAAATAATCAAGCAGCTGTTGAAGGAAGTCTTATAAAACAATCACACATATATCACACAATATGTGTGATCTTGCATGATTATGAAAACTTTTCTCAGAGCTTGTTTCAATATATGCTTATATGAAGTCATCTATATCTATTTATCTGTAATAAATTTTAATTGACAACAAAATAAATATATAAATAAATTGACAACAAAATAAATTACCTCGTTTGCTAGCATCGTCAACTAATATAATTTCAGTTAGCAATTCTGAGGGACTACGGTTTATGACACTCCAGACTGTTCTCAATAAAGTGGACCATGCCTCATTATGAAACACTATAATAACACTTGCAGTTGGAAGATGTTGTATATCAATTTTAGGATTCATTTTACATCTACATTATAAAAGAAATAGAACTGAAATATTATTAAGTTTATCTTATATTTTATATTTGAGAAGAAATGAGTTTTAGCTATTCGTTATCTTCAACTTTTTATAATCATTGAGTAAATAAATATTAAAAATAAAGATTTCACATCATAAAATATATCAACATTAATCTTATAACAAATCATTCAATTTATTGCCATTTATATGCCAATTGTGAGATTATTTTCAGAAAATATGTTTGTATATATAAACATAAATCAGACCTATAATTTCGAGCATCTTTCAAGGACCTATTTAGTGGTATACTATCACTTGCTAACAAATTAAATGAATTAATTTGAAATAATTGTTGCATCTTTAACAAATTTCTTGGTGGTATCATAACCGGTTGACCATCTTTTCCAGCATCAGGTTTTGGCAAGAACTCATTTATATTTAATACATCTGCAAAAGAACATAAACAGTCTATATTAAAATTTCACAAACAAACAAATCAAAATTAATATTTTTCTAAATTATAATGGTTGAGAAATAGTCTCTTGTCTTAATGTATTTATAAATGATATATAATAGCATAAAAAGCCACTATGACAAAAACGCATTTTTAAATAAAGCAAATTAATTAATTTATACTCTATTAAGCTGCTATACAAACAACTTTAGGAATACCAAATTTATCTTCGCTCTCTATATTGGGAATAGAAAAAACAAATTTCTCTTGCATATCAAATAAAGTAATTATTTTAAACAATATAGGTATGTATGCAAAGTGAGAAACTATAAAATTTAAATGATTTAAAGTCAAGACATATAGAAAAAATATATTTACCTTTGCTTAACTTAGAATTTTTCAAATCAGGGCTCACATAATGACCGACTACAACATGCATACCTTTTCTATCAACATACTCACGTTGACCCTCACGCAACCTATAAATAAGATTATTATTAAGTAAAAATAAAAACTAATTTTAGAATACTTATTCAAATAAATAATAAAATTCAAATTTAAAAATAACATACCTTACTGATACCCAGTCATGCTCCTTAGGCTTTGATGGTCCAGGATCAAATATTAAAAAAATACAATACGACAAAAAAAATATTAATATTACAATCAAGTATCTTTTTTTACTAAGTAATCTCAGAGGGACCCACATTTTAATATTCCGCTTAATAAATAAAATGAAATCCAGAAATAAACAAACAAAAGCGTTCAATCATTATGATAATGATTGATATTTACAATTAAAACTCACATTATTTTGAATTAGAAAAAAAACTAAACGTTTTTTAAATGAAGTTATTTGGTTCCGGAGCACTCATGTCAGAAACGTCAACAGGCGACGCGAGAACGAACCTAGTTGAAGAGGTGCCATCTTAGGTATTGACACACTTGACAAGAGCCAGGAACAGTAGGCAACCGCGAACGGAGGGGTAAGGGAGGCGACATCGTTTCTCGGGCGCTATTACCACTGGGCGTCAAGTAGTCTGTGTAAAAATTGAGTAGCTTTTGTTTCTATTATGATAGATGTTTTTTGTTGATGAGGTAAAATCATAGACCTTATATTACATGGACTGCTAGTCGAGTGCATACAAAATCTAACTAGTGGGGTGGGTGGCATTGTGCCTTAAGGCAAATTGCTGGAACTTCCCGTACTGTAACAAAATGTTCGAGGAATATTGAATGTTTTCAAATAGATTATTATAAATATTGTAACATTGTCTAATATTTATAAGAATTATATAAACTGAATTGCAGAGTTGAAATTATTTGTTTAAAGTATATTAGAACTATATAGTCAGAATTAAAAATAAAATCTGAATTATTTTCGATATACAAAAAAAAAAAAAACAATTTTTTTTTCCAAAAACAATTATTTTGTTAAGACAAGCAGAAAGTTCTTTGAATCAATTGAATCGGACGCTTAGTTCTCTCAAAAACTGCCATTTTTTGTACATTTAGCTCTGTATCTCCGTAAAGGCTGGGCCTGCCTTTGCGAAAAACTAATAACCCCTTCTCCCAATCATTACTAATTGAATGTTTTTTAGATCATTCAAATCGGATGCTCCGGTCTCTCAAAAACTCGATTTATATTTTCTGCACTCTTTGCTCCTTATCTCCGTAACCACTGGACCTGCCTTTGCCAAAAACTAATCAGCACATCTCCTTATCAATAGGAATCGAATGTTTTTTAAAACATTCAAATCGGTTGATCCGTACGCCCGAAAACGTGCACGAAAATTTGTATCCATACATACATACACACACACACATCCATTTTTTCTTAAGTATGCCAAAATGTTCAGAAACCTTCAAAACGTCGAGAAATGTAAAAATTTTCAATTCCGATTTTCGGCCCATTACAATAACTTACCCTACGGGAAGTTAACTACTTAGTTGGTATTGGTATTTTGCTTTGATATGTTTAAATAATCGACGTAATCAATGAAAAATAAATTTATTATTAAGTATTTCGAGCGGATTTATTACACATAATTGAAAACGAACTAACACGTCAACTCGGAGTATTTTCTAAAAGCAAATTTTCACAAATCAATAACTGTTATAATTGAACCAGTTTCCGTAGGGCTTTAATGGTTTAGTATGTTCATTAAGACCAAGTATACTCTGTCGTTATACCAAAGTAAATCGCTTAATTTTAATTTTAACAAACGTCAAAATAAACTACTCATTTTCTCAAACTTTGATGAATTTTTAAAATTAAATTACTTGTCGTAAAGCCGTAATATTTCAGTAAGTTCTATAAGACAATGATATATATCGCTAAAAAAAGTTCCATAAAAATCGGCCTAAATTTTTTTTCAACAGTTAATTACAAGAAAACGGCTCGGTAGATTTTCACCTAAAACTAATCAGTATCATTCCCAACCAATATCTTTCGAAATTTTTTTAATTTTTTTAAATCGATTCGGTAGTATGAGCTTAAATGTGGACAAAAAGTTTAACACTTTTTTTCAAATTCCAAAGAAACGGCTCGGCAGATCGTCGCACAAAACTGACAAACGATAGTCCTCATTGAGATAAATCAAATAGCTTTTCTGAAATCGGTTCAGGCGTTTTTGAGAAAACGTCGATCAAAGGTCTAATTTTGACAAATGCCAAAAAAACAATACCAATTTTTGGAAACTTCGACGAATTTTTAAAGTTAAACGAGTTGTCGTAGAGCCGTAATATTTTAGTATGATCTATAAGTAAGGTAACCATATTTTTTTGCATGAAATCCGCACATTTTTTTAGTTCAAATTTTTTAGTTGACAATCAAAACATTTTTAAAAATCCGGGACAAAACACCTCAAACCACGACAAATATTGCTTTTAGAAAAAGCCGAGACGCAAGGCGGAAAATCGGGACTGTCTAAGACTATGATATCTACCGTCAAAAAAATAATAATAAAAATCGTCGAAAAATTTTTTTTAATACTTTCTTACAAGAAAACGGCCCAGCCGATCTCTACCAAAAACTAATCAGCACGATTCCCAACCAATATCTTTCGAACGGTTTTTGAATTTTCAAAATCGATTCAGAATTGCGGGCTAAAATGTGGACGAAAAATTTTACACTTTTCTGCTATTTACAAAGAAACCGCTCGGCCGATAGTCGCACAAAACTGAGAAGCGATAGTCTTCATCGAGATACATCGAATGGCTTTTAAATTTTTGAAATCGGTTCAGCCGTTTTTGAGAAAACGTCGATTTACGGCAAAAAATCTGTTCACACACATACTTTTTCCAAATTTGGTTTCATTCGATTCAGAATGGCTTGAAACGTCGAGAAAATATAAAATTAGCGAATCGGATTTTTTGAAGAAATTTCTTCGGGAAGTTAATAAATTATTCATTACATTTATTAGTTCAACGTAAAATGTATAACTATATAATATTTTCCCAACAATTTCAAAAACACGGACTTTCATTTTACGTTTAAGGGATCGAGAGCATTCAACTATTCTCGGCAACGCTCGTGTTCGATTTAAATATCTTAACGTTTCTCAGTGGCACATTTACCCTCGCAACAGGGAACATATTTTGACATTTTTTACCTGAGAAATGTATGTAGCAGTCCATGTAATATAATGTCTATGGGTAAAATTGATTGTTTAGGGGGATTTACCAAAAATCTATCAGAAATATTACGTGGGGGAGGGTAGGGCGTAGTAAGATATCACGTTTATTTATTTTTTACCTCAATTTTGAAATAAAAATAAAAAATGTTACAAAATAAATCTAAATATTTGCGATTTTGGTACTGAAAATACACGTGATGTTTGGTGAGGGAGAACGGGTAATTTTAAACATCACCAAAGGGAGAAATCCAAAAATCTTCAAAAATCGCTCACGTGATCAATGGACTCTCTCTTAGCTTGAACACCTGATAGATTTCGTAGCTCTATCAACTGTTATTTTGATTATGAAGATTAAATTTCGCTGAATTTTATTATTGTGAGTAAGACCCGAAAGGTATGCGACTATTACGTTCCCTGTTCATTAGGGCCTACTGTATTAATTTGCATGCTAGATTGTCAGATATTAAAAAATTAATATAAAATAAAGATTTCTCAAAATTATTTTAGATTTAATAATGTCAGCATAACTATCAGAGTAAATTATTTATTATTTCATCTTATAAATTATATAAATAAAATATTATTCATACATTTCATATGAAACTAAATTCAGTGTAATTATTTCGAAATTGTTTATATTGCTCACTTAATTTACATGTTTTCAATTCATATTTCACTATCCTTGAATTATATTGCTATTAATACAATTATTGTATATAAATTATTTCATTTGCATGACAAAACAACTTGATATCTCTTTTTTGTTTTTCTTGATGTCTTGAAATATTTTTATCATTTGTATGTTTGTATTGTTGTATGTTTTGATCATTTATTCACTCCCGTCATATAATTCATCATATAAATAAAATATAATACATATATTTCACACAAAACTATTAATATTATTTCAAATTCATATTATACCACCCTCGTATTAATTAGCAATTAAAACAATTATGTTTAAACAACTCCATATCTCATTTGTAAGTTTCTCGATATCATTAAAAATTAAATAAAGTCACAAAATCACTGGTTTATATGTCTCAATAATTTATTCACTTAATATGTGCCTTTACATATAAATATATGCTTATTAAATAAAATATATAAATATATGCTTATTAAACTAAATTTCTGAACTAAACTCTTTTTGGTAAATCTCAAATTATAAAACTTTCATTAGACATGTAATATTGCATTAATTTGAAAATAATTATAGGCTAACATGCAATTTCATATGACTACTTAGATCCTCCGAAGTGTGGCAACTGGTATCACATAGTTCACATTCATAAGGTCGATCACCAGTGTGTATATTCATATGCTCGTTGTATAAATAGTCTTTACTGGTAAAAGATTTGTTGCAAATTAAACATTCATAGTTTTTAATAATTACATTATCCTTTAAAGAGTTGTGATGAATATGAGTCACTGAACTATTATATAATTCTCCACATATTCCACATTTTATGGTGGCACATTGATCAACTTTCGACTGGCCTTTACTCTGATCTTTCTCACCATTCAAAATCTCTTTAGAATGGCTTTTTTCGTGTTTTAATAGCTCCCGTTTCATTGTAAATTGTGAAGTACAAAACTTGCATTTTTTTAAACTAGGTTTATCTGCAGTAGATTTTTGCTTCCTTTTGTGATGCTCCATTTTTAGCTTAACTTGTGTCGCAAACAATTCACAATCGTATAAGCACTCTAATTGTAAACAAAAGAAAGTAAGGAACAGTTATAGTCAAATTGTAATAACATATTTATAAAATAAATTAATGATTAAATATGTTACTTTAAAAACACCTTTTCCACGTACACATGCACAATTTGCCTCAACAATTTTGGAAAATTCCTGTTTAATTTAACTTGTGCTTTAGAAACGTTAAATATTTTTAATTCAATTGCACTGCTTGAAATTAATGATATGTTATTAAACATATATAATGTCATAAGCTTAAAGTTAACATAAATTATTGTGTATGTTTCACTGTATGTATTACTATGAATTTTTCAAGTTTAGGGCGTTCTTGGTAAGCAATGAAACAAATAAGATTACTTACTACGTCCAGATAATTCAGTTATTCAGGGAACAAGATTGATAACAGTGTCCACAAAAACAATTGAATCAAAATAGAATTTTCACTTGTATTACCACTTGTTCAAGATAAATCCTCTTATTTGTCGAAAATATGTATATTGAAATAGATTTGTAAATAACGTTTAAATATTTAAATTATTATGCTCAAACAAATACGAGAACGTATAATTGAACCAGTGTTGAAATTAATTTTGTATGGAAGTACTCACCGAACATTAATCATATTCACCGAATTCGAAACAGCGCGGTTTGATGTCATTAAATTTAAATTAACTTGAGGAATAAAACACATTAAAGAAAGAAAAAAGTAGGATGAGAATAATGATAAAATAAAACATAAAATTCTGACCAACTGACCACGACTATGATTTTTTCGTTAAATATTATTTTTAAGTAGTGTAGTACTGTCACTGTTACAAGCTATCAAAATTCTTCCGAAAATGCTCATTTTTTTTTGCCAAGGCGGCAAAATTGAATTACAAAAATTTGACTGTATAACTCGAAGTTTAATTAAATATAGAAAATAAATTAAATTATATAAACTAAATTTATTAAATATAGAAATGAATTACTGAAATATTTAAACTAAATACATGATTGACATGATGTAGCTTCTACTGGCTTATTGAATATATATTTAAAAAAATATTTGTATTCTGTTCATTTATAATATAAATTTTATTCATTATCTAAACACAATCCGTTTGTAATCAAATATTAAAATAATGTTTATAAAAACTGATAGAAGTGGAGTGAAGGTTAACTATTTGTAGAACTTTGGAATACCATTTGAAACTTCATTAAAAATTCAAAATTAAAATTATTACTTTAATAAAATAATTTATTTTAAAAATTGTGTTTTAAACAAAAATATATTCAATTATATCAACAATTGTGTTTAATAATGATGCACATAGTGAGATGGTATAAATATTTGTAAAGAAATGATTTCAATGAATACAATGAAAAATTATTTAAACAAAATTAATAACATAGACATTATGAAAATTCAACATTCATATGTTTTACCAATAAATAAATTAATGTACAACAATTACACAATACAACAAACTATGCTTAATATCAAGGATTGTATAATAGATATTTCCTCAAATAAATTGCAATTATTTGCATAAGGTGGCATCTATTTGCTTCAGCCAGGGAAGAGTTAACTTGACTTTAGTACGGTACATCGTGTTGGTAGCCAAAGGATTATGATCTAAATAAATTGTATTCAATTTCTTGTTGTTTGTCAAGTTATTCAAGTTATCCCAGTCATGTATCTCATTATCATTAATCTGAAACACAATTTTTATTTATCAATTTATATATCATGAATACAGACTTGTTAATAAATTATTGTTTATTTTATGTGCACAAATGGACTATTCAGATTTTCTTACAGGCAATTTATTGCAAGCAAATATATATATATATATATATATATATATATATATATACAGTAGAAACTCGTTTATCTGGCCCTCGGTTATCCGGACTCCCAACCGCGAAAAATTTATATGTATGAACATACCTATAATTCAAATTTTTGCATGATTAATGCTGCAGTTTAGTATATGTATGTAATGTAATCTACAAAAATATGTATAAATACAGAAATGGAACCAGTACAATTGCTTAATAAACATTATTTGCATTGATATCTATGTATGTATTTGTTATTTTTAATAAATATACAACATTATTCTTCATACATTCAATTATCTGGATTTTCGATTATCTGAATGCCTATCGACAACAATTAGTTGTTAATCGAGTTTCGAGTTTCTACTATATATATATATATTTTAAATGTATACCATGTACATCATGAACATCAATTGACTGTAAACATTTGAGAGCGAGATCAAATGTATCAATATGTGAATATCATAACAAAAATATCCATCAGATATTGATTTGCTCAATAAACTTGTTTTAAAAACAATTTAAAATTAAATATATTTACCCAAAACTCTTCCAAATCTACAAGATGATCCACATTCTTAATCATTTTTATTTTATTAATAGCTAAATCTAGAGTCTGTAACTTCAAATTGCATTCAAGACCCTCAATTTCTGTAATTCCATTTTCAGAGATATATAACTCTGTCAATTGAGTAAGCTTATCGAGATTTTCAATTTTTGATATTCTATTGCATTGCAAGCTTAAACATTCTAAATTTCTCAAATTATCCAAATTAGATATTTTGGATATTCGATTTTTTCCCAAATAAAGTTGGCGTAGGTTAACTAATGACTCTAGATTTTGAATTTCCTGCAAAAACAAAGAATATTTTAAATATGGATTGTTTCACTTTATGAATAAATTATTACAGTAAAAATGAAATAGTAAAAAAATATACAAATGTTTCAATGATGAAATAAATAAATTAAAATGTGATCAACTGATCACATTTAATTGTTGAATGAAGAGCAGAATTTCAGAAAACAAGTGTTCAACGATAATGTCAAAATTGCTTTGCAAATTTTTGTGCTTGAATTTATTTAATTGGTGTATTTACCTTGATTTTGTTATCACCAAGTTCCAAAAGAGTCAAATTTGTTAAATTTGCAATATTTTCTATAATCACTATTCGATTTGATGTTAGATACAATTTCTCTAATTGCTTTAATGCATTTAAATTCTCAATGGTCTTTATTCGATTGAAGCAAAGATCTAAAACTCTATATAAACAAAAAAAAAAATACATATTAACTAATACATAGAAGCTATTGGTTCATTTGTAGAAAATGTCTTACACAGTAAATAAAGTTATTTAATGTGACGATAAAAAATCTTTTTATAATATAACCACATATGAAAAAAAACTCAAAAACTTCTATATTACATAAATTTTGTTCTTAACAAAATATGAAAAAAAAAATTACATTTACTACCTCTGCCAAAATAGTTAATTTCATAATTTCACAACAAAAACATTAATATTTAATGAATTATTTGACAAAAACAGGAATTAATTCGCCATTTCAATTTTACTATTATTTCAAGTTCCTGCTGTTAAGATAAATTTATGTGAATATTCTAATGAAAAAAATCGATTAGTAATCGAATTATAGTAAATTTTAAATTCAAAAACAAGTGATATTGTGAAATAAATTTATATAAATAATTAAACGCATAATCTGAATAAAAAAAAAGCATTTTCACAAAAAATTTATATTGAATGTGAATTACTATTATATTTGCATATATTTATAACTTTTACATACTCTAAATTCACCAACGCATCCAAGTTCTCAATTTTGGTAATTTGATTATCATACAACTCCAGCTCCTTTAATGTAACAAGCGTGCTAAGATTTTCAATTTTTTTAATATGATTCCATCGCAGGTACAATCTGTAAATATATTTACACTGTGACAAATGTAAATTCTCATATTAATGTTAAGAAACCTTTGTATGCGAGTCAGTGGCTCTAAGTTTTCCAGTTTTCCAATTCTTCCATGATTCAAATCCAATTCTTCTGTTTGCGGATCGATTATAATTATTTCTTCAGAGTCTACAATTTCTTCATTGTCATTAGAAGTAGATGATGTATCAGTTTTGGGAGATTGTGATTTAGGGTTGAGGGGTACATCACGGCCGCCTAAATTTCATAAATCAAACTTTTCAATAATTATCAATTTTCAATAAATTACGTCAAATAAATATTAACTTTCTTACTTGAATTTTTATCTGTCATTATACCGATTGTATGAACGTATCCTAACCAACAACAATAACCAAAACCAGCCCGTTAAAAAATGTAACCTAACTTTCAAAACACTTCTTCTGTTTCTCTCTTTCTGTATCAATATCAATGACACTTTGACACCACTCACTAGCAAGTACGCAGACGATATTTAACCTAGATTACAAAACCATATAAATGTAATGAAAATCGATTTTAGAAATTATAAATTCATTCGAAATATATCTATTGAGAATAGCTATGTATAGTTTTGTGCAAACGTCTGTTGAGCCATTCACAATTAAATTTGTTTTTGCGCCATTGCGAAAATTCAAAAATTATTTACTGATAAGATTTAAATGGAACTTGCTCCTTCGAATTCTTTGTAATTAACAGATTAAAATCTAGTCAGTTCGTACAAATGCCACTTACACATATTGTTAGTTTTGCTTTTAATTCGAAAGTTATGAAATTTTTATAAATAATTATTATTTTATCAAAAATAATGAAGGTTTATAATTTTGTGACAACGAATGTCTCGTGCGTGATAGATAAAATACGAGTGATTTTTTTAAAAAAGCATGTACAAAAATTATGATTATTATTAAATTAAGATTATTAAAATCCAAATACAAACAAAATATTTTTGAAAATAAGTATATAATTTCGTCGTTTCGGAACATGATATATATATTGCATCTTTAGTTTTTCAAAAATATTTTAATACAAATGAAAAATATAATGAGAAAAGTAATGAAAAAAAATTAAAAAAATAGAGCATATGATCCAGATAGATGTATATATATATATATATATATATATATATATATATAATGATAAAATTGAGAATCAAAATTTAATTCTTGCGAGTTTGATTAAATGTAGCATTTTACTACATTTTATTCTTTTGCAAAAGATTAAAATGTTGAAAATCATATCAAAGAGAATGTATATTTGAATTGTTGGTAAATTTCGTAAATAGTATATGATTATATATTATGCACTTTTAATTTATTTGTATGAATTTCTATAATACAATTTTAAACTCCAAATGCTTCAAACGTACAAAACTTCTGTTTTCAAATTGCTCAAAACCAAATCATATTTTTATACAGAATACAAATTGAATTATACATTCTAAAATAAAAATTTCTTACAAATCATGTAAATATATTTAGAAAATCATGAAATATATGATTGTAATAAAAAAAATAATTTCCAATTTGTAACAAATAGTTCATAAAGATTTTATTTTTATTTATGAATATTATGAAACATAATCCTAGAGTACTGTGCACTAAGTAAACAGATTTACATAGCGAAGACACTGCATATTAATATTAAACTTTAGTTTCACAATGGATTTATGAATTGATGTCGAAAGATGCATATCAGAATAGTGAATTAAATACAAATTAGAGCCACATGAATTATATTTATCTATATTATTTACAAATACACACAAGTAATAAAATGATTGAATTAGATAATTATTGCTTAATTTAAATCACGTGAGGATAAAAAATGGTTATTAAAATAAATATAAGAAGTCATTAATTTTTTTTTTCAAATTATTAAATAAATAAATTTGTTTCATATACATATATAAGCGTTACAGAGTTACATATATTAAAAAGTATAAATTTTTATGATGCTTTGTGAATTAAAATACATTTTACTATTTTTATTAAATTTGATTAGCAACCATCTCTCACTGCACTATGCTGCCACAGTCCTTTGCGCATCCTCTTCAGCTTTTTCATTGATAAATAACAATGGAAGCATACCAAGTAAGCATCCTGCTATTATACCCAACACTCTTCCCTAGAAATAAACAATTTTTTTCTTTTTATTATTGTACCATTTTTTCAATTTGTTCAAGACAAATGATAAAATTTTATCACCAATGGTCTATTTATGACTTAGTTGTTACAATAGTCATATAGTTTGTCTCAAGCAATAAAACAGCTAAAATCCATTACTTGAAATTGTTATATTTTTAACTATGTTGAAAATCGTTGTTGACTACCAGCTAAATAAAAAAGTTATATTTTCTACCATTATTTAATATACCAGATTTTTAGTGTGTGTGCTCAAAAGTTTATTTTAATTAATTTACATAAATTTACCAGATTTGCAGCGCGATGAGAACAAGGCATGTCTAACTGGATCGGTGTTAATCTTGGAGGCTTAAATCCGACTGCTGCAGCTGCTCTTTCTACATAATAAGCTGATCCAATGCCTATGACATCGCTAATTGTATTACCCAGTGCTGCGGCAGCCATTGTGGATAAAGAAATATATGCCCCCAAACATAGCTCTATTTGATCGCCCTAGGAATTTAAGTAGAAAGGTAAGTCATATTCAACTAAAAATGTTGGTCAGAAAGGTAAGTCAAATTTAATCAATACTGCTTTAGATTCTTTGTCGACCTTTAATAATGTTTCTACCTAATCTTGGATAAAAGACTAAAATTCATCAATCGAAAATTCTAAATTTACTTGTAGTTATTTATTTCAAATCATTATTTTTTTTATCAGTTAATAATGCTTATTGCACTAGTTAGTAATCCACTTTTTATTTGTTGTGCTTAACTAATTGGAAGTGGCAAGTGCCATTGAGTTTATTGGAAGTCTGAGGAGGGTAATGAGATAGCATATTCAAGCCCCCAAATAACACAATCATCTAAATCATTTTGCAATAATAGATACATACACAATTTGTTAATCATGTCGCTAACTACATAATTTTATTTATTACATTAGTGCAATAGTAAGCTACTTTAGTTTATTATTTTTATTATATATATATATATATATATATATATATATATATATATATATATAAAGACAATTTGTTATTTAAAATTGTTATTCCAAATAAATAATTTTCTCACCATAACGATCATAATACAATTATCCAAAAATCCAAATCCAACGAATGGTATTGCATTAGCCAATGCCACTAAAATTATGTTGAATTAGTTAGTATTACATACTTCAAGAAAGATCTAAATCAATCTATCAACAATTTTTCTTACAAATGCAAATTTAGCATTTGAAAGATGGTAAACTGAAATAACTTACATTTCAGAAGATCTGCTGAAGCAGGTTCCGGCACATTTTCAGCTGTGGGATAGAAAACGCCTTTGTTTGAGAACTAGCTAATTTGTTGTTTATTAGGTAATACATAGTTAATAAATGACAAACAATAGACATGCACTCTAATAACGATAATGCTCGTTCTAAGATGGTTAACTACACGACATTACATTAGTTAAGCAAAAACGATAGTAGTTATGTAGACTAATAATGTTGTTGCAAAAAATTATGAATATGCTATATGCAAATATATATATATATATATATATATATATATATATAATACGAGATATGCAAAAAAAGTAAAGTGAATTTTGCTGGCAACATATATTCGATTATCGATTTTTTGTTGTGTCGATGGGTCCCGAACATATGTTGGCATTTTATAAAACATACCATACTTAATTTGTTTTTTTACAACATAAAACGGATTCATGCTGTGCTTAGTGATTTTCTGTTATTATAGAAAATAGAGCAACGAAAAAAATGCTCAAAAACTTTTTAAATATTCACAATACCATATTTAAAAAATTGATATATCCGAAAAACCTGGCGATAATTAAGTATAACCTAAAGATATGATTTCCAAAAACGTTACTTTCTAGTGCACATTAACGCGATACACAGAGTAGAATTATAACTTGAATACTTGATTATAAATCTATTATTATGATTTTAATGAACAAAATATTACGAGTTTAATCTATACTATGACAAATATTCAATTGATCAACTGATTTGATAAAAACGACTCTACTCTAATTGTAAAGGAATATCTCCTCTTTGTACCCACACAGCAATAACAATAAAACGATAACCAAATGTTTATTTCCCACAAAATTTGAAAAACTGACCTTACTTTTTGGGCACGCCTCGTATAATGTCGAGTACGAAGAATTGATAGACTTCACATTATCTCTGCGATTACTCCTTTTCCCAAAGTTCAAAATCCGCTTCAAAGCATCCGATGTTTAACCCACAAAAGATAATCAAAGAAAAAAGTGCCAAGAACTGAAGATGATTCCACTGGTGCTTTTAAAATGATATAATAATTAGTAACCATGCTCAGTAAATTTTCATATGGATGTATACTAATGCGCATACATATTTCCAAATTGCAATGCCAATTTCACACGTAGGTAATAACACGCGTAATACTCACCACGTGGACTATTACCAATTGTTTCCGAGAAATCTTCAGAAAACAGTTTTCTCCCAAAAACATTCTTTTTAAATAACTCAATTAACTGTTTGCGCCTATATAACAATTTACACCCAAGATTGCTAACAATTTTATGAAAAATCTTTGGACGATTTTTTTCACTAAATGTAGTATAAATATAAATTTCGTAGCGCAAAGGGAGGTTGTGTACACATGCGCACATTCTGGATTAATGTTTTCTTTTTGCAATGGATATAATGCTGATACCAGCGAATACTATGTTTTATTTCATAGAAAGAAGTTTTGAATTAAAACGTAAAAAAAGAGACAAATAAATAAAATTAAAGCAAAGCCATTCATTGGTTTTACATAAATAGTTTTTGGATGTATCATCCCTGGTGTTTGAGTTTAGAACATTAAGTTTGGATTAGCCAAGCCATTTTGATTGTCTTTAGAATGGGTAATGTTTAGTTACTGTATAAGAAATAAATAATAAGAAGATAAAATGCATTCAATGCAATTAGGATTATAATCGTTTCAAATTCTTCCGATTCATTATTATCATTTCCGATTCATTATATTGTGAATATATGTGAAATAAATGTCTTTTTGTAGCAGTTCATGATACAAAGAATCAGTAAATACATTTGACAATAACTTAATCAATTATTAGATGAAAGAGATTTTATAAGAAAAATAGAAATTTCCTAACAAAAATAAAATCATCATTATAAAATAAGAAACATTCCAATTCCAGGAAAAATCACATTAATATAGCAGTTAGCAAATGACTAATATAAGCATGCAAGATTTCCATATCACAAAATGGTCTTGTACTCGTCTAGCAGCAAACCTCATTGCATTTTATGCAATTTACAACATCACTAATAAAGACTAGTATTAATATTAATATGAAGAAATATAAGAAGCATGCTTTAGTTATAGAATAATTCTTAATAACAGAGCAAATCACGCATTCACATAAATGATAACGTACAACAAGGACATTAATGATAGTTTAAAAGCCACCTACGTAAAGCATCTTTAATGTTAGTGATTCTCTCAAGCGATGTACCAAATTTATAATCTAAATTTTTCTGCATACCATATTTTTTTTGTAGCCAATCTTCAGGCATAGGACAATAAGAACCGGTTGGATCTACATCGCCCAGTTTGGGTACTTTCACTGGCCTACCAAATTTACTACGCCACCTAGTGGCGGCCAATTGTCCTGTGATGCAGTAAATACAATTACAATTTCAATTCAGTCTTAGTCATCTTATTAATTCAATCATATTTATAAACAAAACAAAACTATCGTAACTGTAAACTAAAATCGTAAAACTGATCTCCAACTGCATCGTGTCAACTCTTTTCAAACCGTTGATCCGGGTTGAGATTGAAGGTGAATAAACGAATGTTTAAAAAAGATGTGAATATATAAATATATTATAAAATATGTTGTAAGTGTGATTTAGATATTCAATAATTTTATGTAGACTCGCTGTCATTTAAATTCAATAATTTCATTTTATATATGATGTATAAAGAAAACGAATCTGTTCATTAACAATGATAGAACTTACAACTTATCACACTAAGTTAACAAACATGTTTTGTTTCCACAATTAATGAGATGTCTAATTCAAAAACAAGAATCTCATTGACAACTCTCAAAACTTACTGCAAGTTTTAATATTTATATTGCAATTAAAAAGTTAAAACACCAATAATAAAAATAAAGATTTATTATTTGAATAGACTGTTGAGTATGTAATCCTGTCCTGGGTAGACTGCTTTAATAGTAATAATAAACACAATTTGATCATCTTATTAATTGTTTTTAGATTATTTTGAATATATGTATTTATACATTTTCCTTTAACATTCTCCTTCATTTTACATAAAGTTTTACTATCAAATATTTCACACATTCATAGATACTTATCATATCTTATATATTTTTATATAATTTTATATTTTCTATGAACCTAATAAAAAATAATTTAAAATAAAAAGTAATAAAAAATTAACACAATACTATGTGATTATTTTATGTAAGTTGTATCGTTAGTAACAATATTGGCAGTAAATCCAAAGGAACAGATAGATAACTGTTGCTAAGTGCACATATACTAATCTTCGAGTACTTATGAAAAATGTATAATAATATTTTCACAACATTTTAAGAGAAACTACAACTATAGTCAATTTATTACATCTGATGTTTTAGCAATTGTATGATTTTGCAATTTAAATAATGTTGATCTATTTAATTTATTTGCGTGTTATATATTGATACAGCATATCAACATGATGTCATTGTTTATTTAAATTATTATATTAGCTTTGTAAAATATTTCATTGTTAAATTATTATGCACAGGTTTCAGAAGCAATTGATTAATTCAATTTTAAAGATTGAAATACACATTTCATTGGAAGATTGAAAGTCACATTTGAAATATTTAACATGTATCAGAGTGAGTATTTAAATTATTTTACCTTCATATTCCTCTTTGATGGTTTTTGACTCAAATTCTTGCAAAGCACACATCAAAGTTTTTCTTTCATCGGATGTTAGTCTCAAGGTGAGCTCGATTGCTTGTTCCTTACTTATTTTTCCATTTGAAGGTAATGATGAGTGATTAACAAGACTGTGAGTTATTCGTCTCTCACAATTTGTTGTTATAATAGCAGCATGTAAAAATTTGGAACGACTGTGCTGGGAAAGAACACAGTACAATTTTGTGACAAATGCATTTGAGAGGCGCATAACTATTTATTTTTTTTGTATTTTGTAAATTATTATTTTAAACATTTTTTGAGTATTAAGTAAACATAATTACTTTTAGTTTGTACCGTTTGTTGGTACAAAACTAAATTTAACAATAAATTTGAGAAAAATTATAAATGACTGAATAACATTGAAATGACAGCACTCATTTGACTGTCACCCAGAGGCTGTTCACTTTGCGTCATTTCGTACACAAAGATTCCATTGCCAACATAATATATTTATAAATTGTGATAACTTCATTTATGTTTCGACTGATATTTCAAGTCAACTGTCAAGTTGATTGTTATATAAGAATTAGTTTTTTAATTGAATGTTAAATTAGTAATATTATAAATATACACAACAAATATGTATGATATGTAGTTTTCGTTGAATTCCGTTATTATGGTTTTAATTTCTATTAATTTATTTTGAAAAAAAAAAATCAGTTGTGCGAAACATTTTGCGATTGGTATTACTTTGTTTGTCCGTTGAATTTTGTATGTTGAATCTTCGTGGTGAGATATCTTTGTTTCTTATTTTGGATTTTATATTTATCTTATCTTTACGCACATATTATGTATTTATACTATTGTTGCGTCACAATATGACAAAAAATGATTATTTCAATCTCTGCAGATTATCATTAGGATTAGGTAGAAGACAAGTGTGATGCCATCGTATAATAGAATAGAAGATAATGATTGTATGCTGTCCATAAACCGTTCGTGTGACATCTTATCTCCTTTCGCCTCAGCATAATAAGGAATGTGAAGTGTGCCCGAATTAATATAACCTATAAATGAGCTGAATATTTTTGAATTATTTAATATTCCGAAATGTTGGATAGTAAATTATTGGCAAGTAAATTCAAAGGATGTTTACTTGGAGCACTTTTAGGAGATTGTTTAGGGGCCCCGTACGAAGGAGAAGTTTTGGGAGCTGGAGCAAAAATTGTCTTACAAAAGTATTTTGATAAACTGGAAGGACCATATTTTAAAAGTAAAATTAATATTGTTCAGACTAAAGTAATTCATTTTATTATTTTTTTTTGCACAGAACCTACAAATCTAAATTTAATGTTCTTATAATTTTATCAGGTCCGGTTAAACAATATACTGATGATACTGCAATGACAAAATGCATTGCACATTCTTTAATCAGTCAAAAAACATTAAATCAGCGTGATTTAGCACAACGATTTGTTAAGGAATATTATGCTGAACCAAGGAGAGGTTATGGCAAAGCAGTTGTTGATGTATTTCATAAATTGCGAATCTCAAACTTTGAAGACCCTGTCGCACCAGCTAAAAATCAATTCTCAGGTATTGAACAATACAATGCGGGATGTTGATAAATGTATTTTTTAGTGAGATTGCACTAATCTTGTTTCTCAACGTATATGGGATTTGCTGGCTGTCTATCAAAAGGGGATGTCTACAGCCATTATAATGTTTAAAACATTATATGTTCTAAATTTCCTTAAATAATAAAAAATAAATTGTACTGGTATGAGCATTAATTAGAAAACAGTGTTTAACACTAAAATAAATCAAGTATATTTTTATTTGATATTATATAAACTATTGATTGAGTAAATCAAAAACCCTTAATGTTCAAAATAATTTTTTTTCAGCCAGTACATAATGATATTTTCTTCGTTCCTTGCTTCGAGAAATGAGAAAAATCCCGCATTTAGTGGAAAACGGGTAAAAATAATTGTACCTCATAAATACTGTTAACTACTTCGCATTTCTATACATTATAATTGTTCTAAAATGAAGAATTTTTTTTTTTGTTACATGCAATATCACTGCTAATGTGCCGAATCAATTATTTGTGTTGTAAAGAGTTGTAATTTAGAGATACTAAATTATTTTCAATAACGTTTAAACTAATTTTATTGATTTAAAATTTTTTTTAGGTTTTGGATCTTATGGAAATGGAGCTGCTATGAGAGTTGCGCCAATATCCCTATTTTTCTCAAAAAACTTCGATCAGTTAGTGGAAATGGCTAAAAAATCAGCTGAAATAACTCACACACATAGATACGGAATGGATGGTGCAGTGGTGCAAGCTGTCGCAATTTTTCAGTGTCTGGAGACCAGCTCAAGCACTATGGATGTGAAAGATTTTATTGTCAAGTTAATTGAGAAAGTGTCTGCTGTCGAAAGCAAATCTGATGAAATGTTTGTATTTTGTGAAATTATGTTACAACAATTCATTTTGTTATTTGTTACATTTTGTTTTGAAAACCATTTTATTATACATTCATTATACAGGGTCCGGCACTCGAAGTGTAACCAATTTCAAACAACTCGCGTAGCTGATGCACGTGTACCAACTGTCAGTAAGTTAGCTAAATGATAGTTTAGTCTATTGTTTATAAGCGTACGAAAGTATTTAGTCGACAGTGAACGCGAAAAAAAGAAATCAGTAATGGATTTCAAACGTAACAGTGTGATTACATTATATTTAGCTGGAAAATCACAACCAGCGATTGTTCGAGGGCTCAAACACCTTAAAGTGAATAAAGTTTTTGCTTATCGCACCATAACTCGTTACAATGAAACTGGTAGCATCGCAAAACGTCATGGAGGTGGTCACCAAAAGACTGCAACGTCACATGAGATGGTCAAAAAAGTGAGAAAGCGACTCGAGCGAAATTCCCGACGAAGTGCCAATTAAATGGCAGAAGAACTTAACACATCTGACCGTAGCATCCGCCGCATACTGAAAAATGATCTCAAGGTCAAGCCTTATAAGATCCAAAAGGCACATGATCTTACGTCGAAGCAGCAGCAAGTGAGACTTCAGAGAGCTAAGGAGTTGCTTCGCCTGGCCGAGAGTGGTAAATTTCCGAACATTGTGTTTTCCGACGAGAAAATTTTCATAATTAAGCAATTCGCACACTCTCAAAACGATAGGGTTTACTTGACTGATCGTTCAGACAAGAATTTGAGCCATCGACTGGCCACCAGAAGGCAACATCAGCCACAGATAATGGTTTGGGCCGCTGTAACCGCAGATGGGCGATCTCCAATCGTTTTCATCGAGCCTGGCGTCAAGGTAAATGTGCGATATCATCGGGAAAGTATTCTGAAGGTTGCTTTGAAGCCATGGGCAGATCAACATTTCGGTGGCAGACCATGGACGTTTCAACAGGACTCGGCACCATATCATAAAGCTCGAGTAAACCAAGAATGGCTGAAAAACACCGTTCCGAACTTCAAAGCGTCCGCACAATGGATCTCAAATTCACCACACGCGAATCCTATGGATTATTCTCTTTGGGCCATTTCGGAGAGCAAGGTCCGAACTAAGGGGTGCATCAGTCTCGAGGCGCTAAAAAAAGCCGTTGTCCGCCAGTGGGCCAAAATACCTGCAAATCACGTTCGGCCAAATGCGATTTGTTTTTGGACCGTCTAAAGGCCATAGTCAAAGTAAAAGGTGGTCATGTCGAGCAAAAATGAATTGTTCTTAAATTTTGTATTATTTTTACACATTTTGTACTTTGAATCGAGTAAAATTGATTTTCCAAACTGATTTTATGGCTCTTTCAATTGGTTACACTTCGAGTGCGGACCCTGTATATGCTTTGTACTAAAGAACAATAGTACTAACTTTCAAAACTATGAGTAAACTACATTTTACTGTTCAAATATATAAATATCTTCAGCTCGATCAAAGAAGCTGTACTTCCTCGGATACATTTTATTAGTCACGAGTATTATGACTTCAATTACATTTTGCACTACTAAATTTTCATGCATTTAATTTTCAATGAAAAAAATATTTACAGGCTTGGGTTACCAGAACCTCCCACATATGTGAAACAATTAAATTACGTATCAGAAATGTTAGAGAAAGATGAAGTACCTCAAGAAACAGTTATTCAAAAGTTAGGAAATGATGTTGCAGCACTTTATTCTGTACCAACGGCAATTTATTGCTTCTTGAGATCTCAAAAACCTATTAAGGATATTCAGGTTCGTAGTTTGAAATCTGGAAAATCTTTATTTTTAGTGCGTCACCTCCATAATTTGTGAAGTAAATATAGGTTAATATAAAACCTTTTTTTTTTTCAGAGTGATAATGTATTTCGCCGTGCTCTTCAATATGCAATTTCTCTGGGTGGAGACACAGACACTATTGCAAGTATGACTGGAGCACTTGCTGGAGCTCATCTAGGACACGAAGTGATTTCTCCGAATTTAATTAAGCACTGTGAATATTCAGAAGAAATCATTAAATTAGCAGATGAATTATTAGTATCCAGTCGGTAATTGACAAATTATTAAAATTTATTAATATTTATTAAAATTTTATAATCTTTCAGCATTGTATTTATAATAGATTAATAAATTTGTTCTGTTTTTCATATTGTAATACAAACTATTTTTATTATTAACGAAAATACGAGTGGGATGGAGGCTGTCTATTAATCATGTGATCAATCTAAGGATTTTCAGACCCTCCGTTTACTTTATGGATATTTAAAATTCCCCCCCCCCCCTTCCTAAACCAAACAATACATGTATTTTTAATACCTAGAAAAGTCTGTATAATTTTAGATTTTTTTTTGAACAACTTTGTTTTTTTTTTAAATTCAGGTAAAAAAATAAATACATGTGATACCTTACTAGATTCCCCTTCTCCTCCTTGTGAAATTTTATGTTTTTTTTTGTCAAACTGCCCTCCTCGCAAACGAAATTTTCGTCTTTTGTGCGTGATTTTTCGAAATTGACTCGCGTTTTATGTGATCAGTCGAGCTTTTTAACATATGACTTATATTTTTTGACCGGGTGCTAAAATGGTGCCCAATGAGTGTGATTAGAAACCACATACTGCATAGCTCTCTTGAAATTACAACAATGTAGTGTCGCAATCTCTCTAGGCATCTGAATAAACAGGTTGAAATGTGGCCTTACTTTACTACATAGTTTGCACAAAATCGTAAATATGGCGATGTGGATAACGATACAGTATCTGCATTCTGGATAATAGTTACCAAAAGTAATTTTAACATTTTAATTTATAATTAAGTTAAAGTAAAGATTTGAGTACACACTTAACATGAATTTATTTGCTAATTATAAAATATAATTGACCAAATTACATTATTATTTTAATAATTTATTTTTATTAGTTAAAACTTGGCATATATTTTCTAAACTTTTACTTTCAATCACTTTTCAAGATTTTTCTTGCTAACAGTTGAAACATACTGCAGATATTTTCGGGGACTTAAACATAAATATTTCATTAAATCTACATTTTTCATTCTAGCTTATTATTATTCACTGTTATAGGACAATCTTGGTGTGCGATAATTTTTTCATGCGCCGATTACGAATTTTCCAATTTTGACAAGTTTTATACAAATGCATGCAATTAATGTGCCCGTTTTTTCAAGTTTATAAACGAATTTTATCCTAAAACAGCGAATGCGTTTGCAGCTACCAGAAAATTTATTTCAAGTGATAGTACTTTCGTAAATTTTCAGAAAGCAATAATCAGATTGCAAAGACAGAAAAATCGACGAAGTTTGTTAGTCACTTGAAATTACATATCTGGTATAAACAAATGATCTATGTACCACAGCAATAAATTTAATTAAAATTTAAGTAAGCAATCATTGCGGATCGGGCGCAAGATGTGCGTAACCGAGACGGCGAAGGGCGCTCTTGATTGCTTTAAAAACTGTGGGGTCCTCAACAGTTCCGGGAAGCAAGACGCGCTTGTTGCGTGCCAGATCTGCGATCGTCTTCCGTAGGGTTTTGCCGGATCGGGTGCGCGGCAATGCCGGCACCGACGCAGCTAGCCGGAACACGGCTATGGGGCCGATCAGGCTGCGAACCATGTCAATCAGGTCTGATACTATCGTTGCTTCATCTCTTTGTGCATCTGTCATAAAACCATGAACATTATTAGCAAAATGTGTTATTTACTTGAAATTGAATATTACATAACACTACTGAAAATTATTATTAATTTGTCCAAAACAGACAATCTTCTATATATATATATGTAAATAAGTCGGGTTTTCCTTCCTGACGAAATAACTTCAGAACGCACGAACCGATTTCGACAATTTTGCATTCTTTGGAAAGGTCTCGGGCTCCGAAAGGTTTATAGCTAAGAAAATTAGAGGTGCATGGCTAATGAAAATTGCTGGAATTAAAAATTCGAGTAATAACATTAGTGAGAATTATCAGAATTATGCTTGGTTAAGTCAACGAGCAATTCTTGCCGCCAAGAAATATGCTGTACACGCACTGAATTCCACCATTCAATCAAAAATTGCTGCAATTTCCAGTTCTCCTTATCAATCGCTTAGTGTTTGCGGGATAAATTTCAAATAGATTATTTAGAAAAGCATTGTTTTTCACATGGGCAGTTATACGTTGCCTGTTCACGAGTTGGAAAACCATCCGCTTTGTTTGTGTTAACGTCAGACCAAACAACAAAAAATGTGGTTTACCAAAGAGCACTTCAATGAAACGGATAATTTGCGGATTCACTTTCATTTACTTAGAGAAGTTCAACTAAAAAACACTTCATTTTTGTAAACAAATGTAAATTTTTCTTTTTCAAATATAAAACAAACAAAAAATTTCTTCATCTTTTTAACGAAACCATCTGGTGGCGAAACGGAGTTCGTCGGGTTTGCTAGTGTGATTATAAAATAAACGTATAGTAATGATACTAATTACTATTATGTTTCATTTTTGTTACTAAAAACGTGCATTAAAAAAACAATTTGCTAGATAAAAATGTAGATAATTTTTTTTTTATTTAGTGTTTATTATAAATTTACTCGCGTACTTTTGATAAGTTAATCATGTTAATAATATATTCATTGTTATATAAACATATCAAACAAATAATAATATTGCTGCTTCTTTTAATGGCAATTGTCTAAACTAGTTCCTTTCGGTCGATTTTTCAGAATGACACGAATTTTGTAATTTCCAAAAATTCCAATGCCAAAAAGCCTGTATAAGCGAAGCAAGTAATATAATTTAATTTAAAAATTATTTACTTGCGATATTATCGCAAAACTTTTATATAGATAAGACTGAAAATATAGAATACTGAAATATCAATTTCTTATCTATGAAATTCTTTTGAATAAACCTTCAAATAATCAAGTTATTTCAAAAACATGCTATTCAATAATAAAACTTCCAAACAAATAAGCTGTTACTCAATATCGGATTAATCTGATAATAATATCTGAAATCTGATAATTCTAATCAATGAACAACTAAAAATCGTAACACTTTCATGTCAAATGCCAAAAATGCCTCCTGCCATATTTGACTTTATCAATCAGTTATTAATACATTGTTGTCAAAATGTTTTCATATGCCCATATATTAAAAGGTCAACCGTTGGGTTTTTCTTTCTCAAATCAATTACTGAATGTCTATCTATAACTAGATTGTAAGGTATTGCATAAAAATTAAAAAAATATTCATATACATTTACGATTCTGGATTGATCAAAAACTATAATATTCATGTTATAATTATTTGATATATATTAATTTTAATGAATGTGAATATATAAATAAATGATCTACTCACTCGGCACCATGACAAACAAGCAAAGCGGAACTTCGCCTTTTGTTGGTTCCGGCACCCCGACCACTGCCGCGTCCGCTACATCAGGATGTCCTAAAACTACATCTTCTAAGCCACTGGTGCTTAATCTATGACCGGCAACATTGATAACATCATCGTCTCTGGCCGTCACGTATACGTAACCGAATTCGTCTTTGTAACCTGCATCCATCGTATCATAATATCCCTAGAAACAATATACAAAAACATGCACTCTTAGCATCCAACATAATTGAAAACAGTTAATACTAATATTCTTACATGTATGATATATATATATATATATATATATATATATAAGTTAGAAATTTTTACTAACCGGGTATTTATCGAAGTATACTGATAGAAAACGTTCAGGAGATTTATATAGGGTAGAGGCAGTGCCTGGTGGTAGTGGTAACCTACATGCTATGCGGCCCAACTCATGTGGCAAGCATTCGGTTCCATCTTGTCGCAAAATGTGAACTGTAAATTGAAGACAATTTAATAAATATGTGTAAATATGCTAAACAGATTAACAACTAGTTGGTATTAGTATTTAGCCTTGAGGTAAGTTACATGAACTTCCCGATATGTGTAAATAATCGACTTAATCAATAAAAAATAAATTAATTTATGAGTAAATTTATTACACATAATTGAAAACGAACGAACACGTTAACCCGGAGTATTTTCAAAAAGCAACTTTTCAAAAATCAACAATTATTAAATTTGAACCAGTTTCCGTAGGATTTTAATGGTTTAGTATGTTTATTAAGACCAAGTACTATATTGTTATACCAAGTAAATCGTCTAATTTTAATTTTAGCTAACGTCAAAAAAACTACTCATTTTCTCAAACTTTGATGAATTTTTAAAATTAAACTACTTGTCGTAAGGCCGTAATATTACAGTAAGTTCTATAAGACCATGATATACATGAATGTGGACGAAAAGTTTAACACTTTTTTTCAAATTACAAAGGAACGGCTTGGCAGATCGTCGCACAAAACTGATAAACCATAGTCCTCATCGAAATACATCAAATGGTTTTTAAATTTCTGAAATCGATTCAAGCGTTTTGGAGAAAATGTCGATAAAAGGTCTAATTTTGACAAATGCCAAAAAAACGATACCAATTTTTGCAAACTTTGACAAATTTTCAAACTTAAACCATTTGTCGTAGAGCCGTAATATTTTAGTATGATCTAGAAAACTATAATATCTACCGTCAAAAAAATGATAATAAAAATCGTCAAAAAAATTTTTTTTAACACTTTATTACAAGAAAACGGCCCGGCGATCTTTACAAAAAACTAATCAGCACGTTCCCAATCAATCTCTTTCGAACGGTTTTTGAATTTTCATAATCGGTTCAGCATTGCGGGGTAAAACGTGGACAATTTTTTTTTCACTTTTCTGCTATTTATAAAGAAACGTCTTGTCCGATCGTCCCACAAAACTGACAAACGATAGTCCTCGCCGAGATACATCGAATGGCTTTTAAATTTTTGAAATCGGCCCAGCCGTTTTCGAGAAAACGTCGATTTTCGGAAAAAAATTTGTTCACATACACACACACACATACTTTTTCCAAATTGGTCTCATTCGATTCAGAATGGCTTGAAACGTCGAGAAAACAAAGTTAGCGAATCGGATTTTTTGATGAAAACAAACTTCTCTTTCGGGAAGTTAAAAAAGCAGCAAATGGCATACTAGGGGTATTAGAAAAACATCTAAATTAAACGGTGCTTATAGATTTGAATATCCAAAATTTTTTGCGTCTTTAACGTACAGTTTTTGAGCTGATCGCTGATTTTCAAGAATATATGATCACGATGGTTTAAATAGTAAATGTATCGTTATTACAAGTTTTTAATATATGGATAAAACTTAATACAAAGTACATTTGTATATAATTTAATTACCGTCAAATCCAGGAAACGGCATACCCGCACAGTTGTTGGGCGGATTGAGATTGTGGCCCAAACCAACGCAGGATGCTGTGATTGCGTGTCCAGTTTCCGTCTGCCACCAATGGTTTAAAACGGGAACTTGAAAAACTGTTTGTACCCAAGTCTATGAATAAATAAAAACAATATTTAATCTATAGCAAAAGTAAAATGAGCATTAATGTTAATTATGTATTATTAAATCTGCGTTCGGATTTTTCTAAATTTTAAATAACAATAGGAATTTGAAAGTAATTATTCGAAATTTTGAAACGATATATAAATATATATTATACTAGCTGACCCGGCAAACGTTGTATTGCTAAGTTAGGTATATTCTAAACAAGGATATTTATATTTTTGATTCTAAGGAATCAAAAATATAAATATTTTAAGTGTATAAGGATGTGTTGTTCGAATGCTATATAGAATGAGATATTATAAAACAATAAGCCCCGTTAGTTTGACTATATCTTGTCAATACAATCAAACTGGAAGTTTTATACACTTTCTTTGGATATGGTATAATCCAATCCAAGTCTTTTTTGTTCTTTTGACTTATTCATTACGTTTCCAGTTTTTCAGATTCTTTTTGGATTCTGGATTTTGTATATAATTGTAAACAATACTACTGAGCTTATACAAAATTTTCAAATTTGTGCGAGGAGAGATAGAAAATGAATTAAGTATTTCTTCTTTGACCTGCTTTTTGAAAAATTTCAAGTAACATTCGATGAATTAAAGTAAATTTAATAAAAAGTATATAGGTAGAGCAGGGCGAGACACAAAGGTCCAATTTGACTTTGAGCAAATATAAACTATATTGTGAAAACCATAACAATTATATCACAACAAATAACACATATCTAACGAACGATTATCTGACTACGTTCATGTGCTGCTTTTTTGATGTCTTTCAAAAATTTGTTATCTAGACCTTTTTACCCTATAGGCGGGGTAACTTGAAACGGACAGGTGGCAGAAAGGTTTAAAGCCTTATTATAATTTTAAATTACCGTTTATCTTCCCCATTTCAAAGATTACCGTTTTCAAATCAAGGTTATAGCTGGTCATACATCTTTTTTCCTCAACTTTCAAATATTGCTGTTGAACAATGCTTAGCTTTACTGGTTTTTGACACATCAGTAGTAAACTTATTTAACCCCGGACCTTTATAAATTACTATCTATTCTTCGATAAATTCTGGAAAATTATAACTGGGAAAATGTTATTCGACAAAAATGTCCCTTTGATCAATACCAATTTTAGGTTCTGAATTAAAGTAACATAAATAAAAAATAATATAACCCAGGAAATGTTTTATAAATACCAATGAGTATATAATTATACAAATAAGATCTTTCATAGCACCGTATGAAATATAAATATGCTAAAAAGTGCATTTTTATATTAACATTACAAAAAAGTAGATATTTTGAGTTTATAGTAACACTTGAGGCTCGTTTAATAACGTTTTTGTGTACAAATAAAACTACAAACAAAACTACTTACAATATTTAATCATAATTAACTAATATTTATATAAGACAACCTATCAAACATAATTGAACATCATCTGTCAAAAACGTTTGACATTTCACGTATTAGCCACCGTTCATTGTTTTATTCAAATTACGCTTGTACAAAAATTTTCAAATTAAAAATGTAAAGTTTCTACGCGGATTTGAAATAATTTCTCACCTTTTGGACTTTCTCTGGATTGGCACGAATTTTTCAAGACTAAGACTGGCCAAATCGGTTTAGCCGTTTTCGAATTTTACTTAGACATTTGAAAAAGAGCTCCATTTTTATATATAAGATATATTAAATTAGTCTCTTTCCTACAATTGTCTAAACGTAGAAAATTAATCCTTTTATATTTTTTTAAAATTATATTTTGATTGCTGGTTCGAAAATATATACTTTCTCCGCCCGCACCTAGTGATTCGTCATCTGGCATTATGCTTTTTTAATTTAAAACTTTTTATTAAAATATATTTTTAATTAAAAATGAAGTACTTGGGTCCTGTAGATAAAATGGAAACAGGAAACTTATCATACTATACTTTCACGATTCCAGTGGAGGTTGAACTCAGTTCAAGGACTAGCCCTCGAGCAGAGAACTTAAAATTACTTTTAAGTTATAATAGAATACTAACTTTAGTTTCATGGTCACAGTGTTCTCCAGCAACAAATATAGCTCGTAAGGATTCGGTACTGTAATGCCTTCCAAAAGTGATGTCTGGGTCAAGTCTTTTTATTACTCGGAATGATGTTGGTACAGTAAACATCGCGTTAACTCGGTGTTCGTGAATAATACTGAAAGTAAAGTAATAAAATTTATACATTATAAATGTTTACTGGGACAATTTGTGAGTAAATATTGTCTATATCTATGTATATGGATATTTTTTCTCTAACCGAAAGTATTGTCCGGGGTCGGGCGTGCGATCGGGTTTTCCTTCATACATGACCGATGTAATTCCTGCAAGTAAGGGCCCGTAACAGATATATGAGTGACCGACAACCCAGCCGAGGTCTGATGCCGACCACCACACAGATCCTGGCTGAAGGCCGTACAACGCGTTCATGGACCATGCCAAGGCAGCTAAATGTCCACCTGTCGGACGTTGAATGCCCTTTGGATCATCTGATGAAATAGGAAATATTAGAAATAATATTGCATTACTTTGCTAAACCTGAAATTTAAGAAATTGGTGATTTTGCAAATATAAAATGTATCTATGTTAATTCTGTAAGTGCAATTTTTTTTGGTAATTCTCGTTAAATTTAAAAGTACAAACTTATTAATGTGGTGGGCTATTTTAATCGGCATTTGAGATTTTGTATTTGGTAAATTTTTCATTCATAATGAATTGTTTCATATAAGTAAAATTTGATGTATTGTTGTAATTTTATTATCAATTAATTGCAAATATTCAATTAATATCTATTCTTTTTGGAAACCCAGAACAATCCGGGACAGAACATCCAAATCCGGGACAAATATTGCTTTCAAAAAAACCCAGGACAAGTGGTGAAAAATCCGGGACTGTCCCGGCCAAATCGGGCCGTATGGTCACCTTATTATTAAACATACCTGCATCTTTCAGATTTTATAGTATTATAGTAAAATTATGTGCTAAAAACACTATAATTTAGACGTCAATTAGACTATTCTTCTATAATTTATCAAAAAAACCGTACAGCGGCCTTGAAGATTCCTACTTCAAAAATAAACTTACAAAGATATCATGAACTCGAGTAGTAAAATATTACTCGGAAATTTCTTTAGCTTTGAAACAAGTTTCTCGGAAATTATAATTAAACCACACAAAACATTTTTCTGATCCTCAACGAAGAGAGATGCGACTAATAGCAGATTACCTGAAAGGACACTGCAAATTAAGGAGACAGCTAAGGAAACTAATAATGAAGAACAATGATAGTTGTGAAAATGTTGTTTCAACACAGGAGAAAGAATATACAATGGGGTCATTGTACTTTTAGTTTATCATCTCGTCATTCCCAAAAATACCTGTTGTGCCTGATGTGTAAAGTATGTAAAGAGGATGATTAGCTTCTACAGATACGCATGGATGCGGCATGGCGTTTGCGAGAACTTGGTCCCAGCAGACATCAATTTCTGGCTTTAAAGTGCAAACATGTATATTTCGTCTTTGGAATATTATACATCGTGATGGCTTAAAACCAGGGTAATCTAACGCTTCATCCAATATTTCTTTATACCTGTAAAAGAAAAAAAATAAAATAATCGAGGCAAGACGTAAGAAAATAAATTTTTTTTCTAAATTCACTATTTGATTTTTATTTATTTTTAATAAATAAATGAAAATAATCGTTCATTTAATTATGAATAAATAAAAATAAAATATTTATCTGAACTTATTTGATACCTAATGATTTTATTTGGTTCAACTCCGCAACTGGCTGCAATAATTACTTTCGGCTCTGCATGTATAATTCGTGATCTTAATTCTCTTGATGCAAAACCTGAAATTATTATTATCATTATTTTAAATTAGTGGTTAATGGCTTGTCTATTTCGATTTAAACGAAATAGCTAGAATCTAGCCAGAGGCTATGCATTATCATGCCGCATGCCCTCTGCAATTCTCGCATCTATCTCGCAGATTATTATTATTATTTATATCAATAATTAAATTGAATAATGTTAAATATATTATAGACAACGACTGGATTGTCATTAATTTGTGTTTGTGTTTCAAAGTGTTTTTCTGAAATTAAGTAATCATTTTCGACGCTTTGGAACCAGATATGGCCCATCATCTAATTTTTTTCGTCAAAAGTGTGTTGTCATAATGTAATTTGTTGGTAACTGATTTAGTTTAACTAAGAAATTATGACTAATTGTAAGTATGGATAATATTATTTCTGACCTCCAAAAACAACCGAATGAATTGCTCCAAGTCGAACTGTGGCTAACATAGCAGCAATGGCTCAGGAATAAGTGGCATGTAGATTAGAACTCGGTCTGAACGCTTAACGCCAAGGGATGCGAGTCTCCTGCCAAACGGGATACCTAAAAATATATTACGAAAAAATAAAGATAATCTAGATAATTTTTAAA